CTGGGCCCCCCCGTGCCGGACCCGGCCCCCCGCCCCCCCGGCTGCCGGCCACTCTGCCCTATAAGGGCTGGGGCAGTGCGCGTGGCACCGAGCTGACCTCATGCCTTTGTGCTCTCTCTGGCGTTGACTATAATAGGGAATGGGAGGAAGAGCCCCTGGCCCCCCGCCAGCCCTCCCGCTGCCCGCCGGGAATGCAGGACAGTCCACTGTCTTTCCACTGGGCCGCTCTGAGCTCAGGGACAGCAAGGGGGGACATCGCTGCCGGGGGACAGGGGGTCCCTCCGGGGGATGGGGGCTCCCTCTGGGTGCCCCTGACCTCTCCTCTCTGCCCCCAGGCTGCAAGAGGAGATCCAGCTGAAGGAGGAGGCTGAGAACAACCTGGCTGCTTTCAGAGCTGTGAGTACCTGCCCCCTCCATGAGGCGTGGGACCCCCACCTCCTCTGTCCCCGGCAGCCCAGCCCCAGCGCTGGAGCATGGCCCTGGGCACAGCTTTGCACCCTCCAGCCCTGACATGTGGTCCCTGTGCTCCCCCCATGCCCCCAGGGGTATTCATCCCCCTACTACCCCTCGTTCTGTGTCCCCCCAGGACGTGGATGCAGCCACGCTGGCACGCATTGACCTGGAAAGACGCATCGAGTCCCTGCAGGAGGAGATTGCCTTCCTCAAGAAGGTGCACGAAGAGGTAGGTTGGGGGTTGGCCTTGTTTCCCACCGGCACCCGTGGGGCAGGGGGACAGAGCAGGTGCCCTGAGGCATCACCTTGTCCCTCCAGGAAATCCGGGAGCTGCAGGCTCAGCTGCAGGAGCAGCACATCCAGGTGGAGATGGACATCTCCAAGCCTGACCTGACGGCTGCGCTGCGGGACATCCGTGCCCAGTATGAGAGCATCGCTGCCAAGAACATCTCTGAGGCCGAGGAGTGGTACAAGTCCAAGGTGCGGGAGACGGCACTCTCTGGGCACGCCCCGGCGTGGGGGGTCCCGGCCATCACAGTGGCCATGCCCGCTGACCCTGGCCTCTCCCCAGGTGTCTGACCTGACGCAGGCGGCCAACAAGAACAACGACGCGCTGCGGCAGGCGAAACAGGAGATGCTGGAATACCGGCACCAGATCCAGTCCTACACCTGCGAGATCGATGCCCTCAAGGGCACGGTGAGCCATGGGCAGTGTCGGGGAGACCCCCGTCTTCCCCACAGGGACTGCTCAGGGACTTCTGGGGCATCTCTGGGGTGGGGAGCTCTTCCCAGCTCTCCGAGTTGCTGCCATGGGGGGACTCATCCTCCAGATTTGGGCTGTGCCTCCCCCAGCAGCAGTCTGGGCTTCTGCAAGGTGCTCTGGCAGAGCCCCTGGGGTCAAGGCACAGATTGCAAAAGCCTGGGAGGCTCCAGGCAGGCGGGCGCAGGGCTCGGGGTGTCTGGTTGCAGGCTGGGAAGGTGGCTGCAAACAAACAGGGCACAACAGTCCTACTCCGAGCACAGTCATGGTCACAGGATCCAGCCAGCAGCCACCAGTTTGGCAGTGCCAGCCCCGGGGAAGCCGTCCAGTGCTCCTGCACCTCTCTGAACCCTCCCACAGGGGTAGGATGGCTTTGCTGGGGGGCCTGGGCAGCGGAGCAGAGGGTGCTGGGGTTGCCCAGCACCTGCCCAGCTTGCCCCCACCAGACCCTGCTGCCCAGCGCTGGACAGGCAGAGGGCGACAGCCACCCATCACTGTCCCACATCAGCTGGACCCAGCCCAGGGCTGACCACGGCTCTCCCCAGTCCCTGGCTCCCCACCCCGTCCCCAGCATGGCCAGCTCCCACCCCAGGTGCCCCCTGGCCCCTCTGGGTCTCCCCCCTCGCTGAATGCCCCTGTCCCCCCAGAACGACTCGCTGGTGCGCCAGATGCGGGAGATGGAGGAGCGCTTTGCAGGGGAGGCCAGTGGGTACCAGGACACCATCGCCCGGCTGGAGGAGGAGATCCGGCACCTCAAGGATGAGATGGCCCGGCACCTGCGTGAGTACCAGGACCTGCTCAACGTCAAGATGGCCCTGGACGTGGAGATCGCCACGTACCGCAAGCTGCTGGAGGGCGAGGAGAACCGGTGAGTGGCTGGGGGGCAAGACGAGGTGGGGGACCAGCAGGGTCAGCTGGTTTTTGGGGCTCCCACCCTGTGAGCAACTGCCTGAGGGCTGGTGCTGAGCTCTCCCCTCTGTGTCCCCCCCTGCAGGATCAGCATCCCCATGCACCAGACATTTGCCTCCGCACTCAATTTCCGAGGTGAGCATCACCCTGTGAGAAGGGGGCGCCTGGGATGAGTCCCCAGGGGTCCCCCGTGGGGGGGCAAATCTCCCCCTTGGGGGGTTGCAGCCAGGCCAGCAGGTTGGGGACCCACGGGTGTCACACTGAGTCCCTGGTGTGGTGGCATTCAGTTGGGTGTTGCCGTGAGCTGAGGGGGGATTAAGCCAGGGCTCCTGAAGACCCCCCAGTGGCCCCAGCCCCACTGCTGTGCCCCCATGCCACACATCCCTGCGGTCCCATCCCCTGTGTCCTTCCACCCACAGAGACCAGCCCAGAGCAGCGTGGCTCCGAGGTGCACACCAAAAAGACCGTGATGATCAAAACCATCGAAACCCGTGACGGGGAGGTGAGGGCAGAGTGGCACCGGGGGGCGGTGGGGAGGCATGGGTGGGGGGTCCGAGCACGGCGCCTGTCCCCGTGTGCGGGGCTCCAGTGCTGGCAGGACATGGCATCCCACGGGGCTTCTCCCTTGGCAGGGGGGGA